TATATATATATATATATATTTAACCATTTAATTAATATCCTAAGCGTTTCTTTCAACCAAAAAAAAAGTTATTGACTTTCGAAAAAATACACATTTTACTGCTTATAACCTGCCGAACGTTTCATCATTTATATATTATAATAAAATACATTTAATATCCTCCAATTAATACATTAATTAAGCTTTTCTTTCAAAGAAAAAGTTATTGACTTAAAAAGGATACGCATTTTTCTGCTGATAATAAGTACTTATAAAAAAGAGTAGAACGTTTTGAATTTTTTACATAAATAATACTATTTTAATTTTTTTTTACCTAAATAGAAACTGTGTAAATTTATTTCCCCAACTAACATCATTTATTGTTCACGTTCAGAACGAGCTGTTTTGAAATCAGAACGGGCCGTTTTGAATTAAAAAATAACACATGAAAAATGGATCAGAACGAACCATTCCAAAATCAAAATTAGCACATAAAAGTGGAACCAGAACGGGCCGTTCTGACCTATAAATAAAATATTTTTGGTTTGATTTTCACTTATCAAATACAAAAACTCAGAGACTACCATCAATTGATTAAATTTATTGAATATTAATATTAGAAATATAACTAAATAAATTTATTAAAATTTATTACAACAATAAAGATCAATGGTGGCGGAAACTGAGTTCATGACCAATATTTGGATATGTCTTCCTAGTGTGACTAGGGTTGTGACAATAGGAACAATTTTTTACACGATTATATTGTTCTCTAATGTCCATCTCTGTTCTAATTCTGCTAAACTTTGGCCGACTCTTGAAAGTTCTCTTGAGTTCTGGATTTGGCTACAAAGTTGAAAGAAACGCAACATCCGAGAAAAGTTTGACACGCTAGGAGATTTACCATAAGGTTAAATGAAATGTGGTATGATTGCGACAAGTTCCAGAAAGGTATACAAAGGACAGTTTGGAGAGCTCCGACATGAAGATTATTGGTCTACTTACACTGGTCCAACTTTGTGGCCAAA